TCAAGAAATTTGTGAATATCTTCAAGCAACTTCATATCAACATACCATTGGCGGAGGCACTTGAACAGATGCCTACATATGCTAAATTCTTAAGTGAGTTGCTGACAAAGAAGCGAAAATGGGCTGATCTAGAGAAGGTAACCCTTACTTCTGAATGTAGTGTTGTGATTCAGAATAAATTACCAGAAAAGAAGGATGATCCAGGCAGCTTCACCATTCCATGTGTCATTGGAGGTACAAAGTTCAATAAATCACTTTGTGATCTTGGAGCAGGAATTAATTTGATGCCATACTCAGTCTACAAGAAATTGGGATTGGGAGATGTTCTTAAGCCTACTCGGATCACTCTCCAATTGGCCGATCGATCAATAAAAATCCCAAAAGGAGTGGTGGAAAATGTATTGGTGAAGGTGGGAAAGTTTATTCTCCCAACAGATTTTGTCATTCTGGAGATGGAAGAAGATTGGGGAGTGCCTCTCATTCTTGGTAGACCTTTTCTAGCCACTGGCGATGCACTCATCGATGTCAGGAGAGGCAAACTGACATTCAAAGTAGGTAAGGAGGAGGAAACTTTTAATGTCTTCCAAGTTGATAATAATCACGATGCATTTGATGACTTTGAAAGTGGAGGTCGAGAAAGGAAAAATTCCTCCTCCTGTGATAGTAGACCACCAGAAGAACGATCACATGTCCTATCAGCTCAGATTCTGAAATCAAAGCAAGGACAGAAATCCTTGCCAGATCACCTCAAGTATAGATATTTGGGTAAAGATTTCAATCTTCCTGTTATTATTCCTTGTTCACTGACATTGAAACAGGAAGAGTACTTGCTTGAGGCGCTGCAATACCACCTACGCCTCACTAAAGGATCTAACATGCCAGCTAAGAAGGTCATACCCAATTTTCGCAAACCTGGCCCTGCAGAGGTGACTCATATGTTGGATGGAGGGTATGTGTTCTATCATTGCTCGGGAGGGTATTCTGGATACCTTTCCATACCCATTGGTTGAAAGCTCCATGAATGTCAGGCTGAGGACGTTAAACAAGCGCTTCTTGGGAGGCAACCCAAGGTAAGTTTTTTTTCTTCTTCTTTTTTAGTTGTGTCAAACCCGTGCATGTTTAGATTAGGAGTTGAACATTAGGGACAATGTTCCATCCTGAGTGTGGGGTGGTGAGTCTTAGTGTTGCTTGTCCCTGTTGCATGTGGATTTGAGTGAGTCAATGGTTAATGGTCGCAAAGAACTTGAGTGTGGGGTGAAAGGTATGATCATTAAAGCACAACGCATCCTTTGAGAAAGAAACTACTGATTACCACAAGAGTACAAGGGTAAATTTCTGGTGTTGATGTTGTGTCTTGTGTGTCATAGATTTTTGTGGGAGCATGGTTGCGTCTCCCTGGTATCTGTAGTGTTTCCTCCAATTAACATTCTCTTGTATGAATCGTTGCTTAGGGACAAGCAAGTATTGAGTGTGGGGTGGTGATAATGATCGAAAACATATTGATTTTGTGTGTTGAATGTGAATATTTTATGATATTTTTTAGACATATAATGCTTGTTTTAGGTCCAACTGATTATGGAATGGTTATAAGACCATTACCACAATGTATTGAATTTTGACAAGACAGAAGCACAGGTGAAAGGACAGGCGAAGTTTGGGACAGAATTGAAAGAATTAATTAAAGTGGACCGGATGGGCTTTTATGGATTTTATCGTACCGGCCAATTAGAAGGAATTCCCTTTGGGCAGATTAAAGGAATTATTTGGACCGGCAACTTAAATTGGTAGGGGTGGGAAACGGTGCGGTTGTGGTTAACTGCACCGCAATTTGCGGTTAACTGCAACCGCAAAACACCCATATTAGCCAACCGCGACCGCGTCCCTCACGGTTAGCGGTTAACCAAAAACCGCAGAACGCGGTTAGTGGTGAACCCCGGTTTGTGGTTGTAAAAACCGCAACAACCGAAACAGTATACAAAACCGCGGTTAAGCAATCTAACCGATAATTAACCGCGAACTAACCGCAAGGAGTTGAGAAAGTATGAAGGATACCATGTTGGTCACAGAAGCAACTAAAATCATCATTAATGAATTCACCACCATTATCACTTCTAATACTCTTAACAAGACAATCGTATTGATTTTGTACAAGAAAGACAAATGACTTGAACTTAGAGAAGGCTTCGTCTTTGGATGACAGGAAGTATACCCAGGTGAACCTGGAGAAATCATCAACTATAACTAGCACATAAGATTTTCCCCCAAGGCTTTGGACATTAGTGGGTCCAAATAAATCCATATGTAATAGTTCAAAAGTTGTTGAAGTGGTAACATCTTGTTTACTTTTGAATGACTTCTTACAATGTTTTCCTAAGATGCAAGCTTCACAAGTAAAATTGTTTGATGCCTTGATTTGAGGCAGACCTCTAACTAGGTTAAGTTTAGAGAGTTTAGTCAGACGAGACATACTCATATGACCTAATTTTCTATGCCAGTTGACTGTTGTGTCAGACAGAGAACTTAGACAAATATCCTCTGAATGATCGAGGGTGGATAAATCCACAGTATACACATTATTAATTTTCTTTCCTCTAAATATCACAGCATTGTCAGAGATGCGTTCAATGATGCAACAGAAAGGATCAAACGTGACACGGTAAGTAGACCCACAGATTTGACTGATAGAAAGCATATTATGCTTTAAACCATCGACATAAAGAAAATCTTCAATGATTAGATAAGAATTGCTGCTAATAGTACCCTTCCCAACCACTGAAGCACAATTATTATTACCATAGAAAACTTTACCTCCTCTTTTTGGATTTAGATAAGAAAAAAGATCTTTGTTACCCGTCATGTGGTGAGAGCATCCAGAATCTAAGTACCAGATGTTAGCACCTTTATTATTTTTTCATCAACATGGACATCCTCGATGTTGGAGTTCAGTCCCATGTAAGCAACAACATCTGACTCTTCTTCTGAGCTGTAGTCACTCCAGGAGACTGTCATAGCTTTTTCTTTTCTTTTGTTCAGTGGACAGTTGGCTCTCATGTGACCTGTTTTACCACATTTGAAACAAATAGATGAGTCAGACTTGTTTTCATTTGAGCTCTTGGCATCTTTAGGACTAGTGTCAAGTCTGTTGGTTCCAAATGAGTTTTTGTCATTTGAACCGCCAGAATGATGTCCAAAAGTTCTAAGGGAATGGATGAACATATTTCTAGAAGATATGGAAGAATAACCATTGTTGTGACTTCCCCTTTTTGCATTTTGATCATGTTTGAACTTAATCATTCTTTGGAGTTTTTTTGCTAGTTAGAGCGAGTTCATTTTCGAACTCCTCATCTAGTTTCTCCCCTTCATCAGCACACAAAGATGTAAAGGCAATAGATTTATTCTTCTTGTCTTGGAGGGAGTTCATTTGTTTGAGAACTTCCCCATGACTAAGAAGAGATCCAATTAAGTTTTCAAGAGATAGCACATTTAGATCTTTAGCTTCCTCAATGGCAGTTCTTTTGGCCATCCATTCAAGAGGAAGAGATCTAAGCACTTTTCTGACAAGCTCTTTGCTAGAGAATGTCTTTCCCAGCCCTTTGAGGCGATTGACTAAAGTAGAGAATCTCTTATCCATTTCAGAAATAGATTCTCCCGATACCATATCAAAGGTTTCATATTCTTTCAAAAGTAAGTCAATTCTAGTTTCCTTGACTTCTGATGTTCCTTCATGAGTTGTTTCTAGGATTGTCCATATTTCTTTAGCTGTTTCACATTTGTTTACTCTTTCTCCTTCATCATCAGATATTGCAGACAGTAAAATGTGCATAGCCCTAGAGTCTAGTCGTGCACATTTCTTTTGTTCATTTGACCAATCCTCCTCTTCGTCTTCTTTCATGTCAATTGGTCCATTTAGGACAATTGCCCAAAATTCACAATCGATTCCTCGGAGGTAAAGTCTCATTCTCTTCTTCCATACTGAATAATTATAGTCAGAAAACCAAGGAGGATTTAAATTGGTGGGGAATGAGTTAGAAGACATAGCAAGGCAGGGGATCTCCTTCTCGGCAACACTTAGTTCCACGAAAAGGAGGCTCTGATACCAATTGTTATTTAGCTATGTCTTACTCCATTCTTGTTCAGAATTGAAATTAAAGATTGTATATTTATGACGACAAGAATAACTGAAGAACATCAATCATTCAAGCAAAAGGAACTCTGAACCACAAGGGAATTAAGATCACAAGTTCCTTATTAAACTGAGAAAACCCTAGATGACAGTCAAAAAGAACAGAAAGAAAACTACTAATCAGGATCTACACCCAGATTGTCTAGAGTTCCTGGCTAACAGCCCCAACTCTAGCAATCTAGACACTTTAAACTGAACCCAATCCAAACACTCCCAAAGAACTGACCCGTTCTTACTTAGTGGAAACTGTTACTTATCCGCTTCTATGAGAGGTCTAATAGGGTCACGGTGCTCTTCTTCCATCTCTCTCATCTTCAATGTGGTTACCGTTGACAGAAGCATCGGATGGAGGATTGATATATTGGATGTCATCGGGAAGCTCTTTCTGCTAGATGTTTTGATGATGATGAGAATCGGGTTGCGGGTCAGTCGGGTTGCGGGTCAGTCGGGTTGCGGGTCAATCGGGTTGCGGGTCGGGCAGGTTACGGGTTGTTGACTTTTAGTCAATTCGGGTTGCGGTCAGGTAGGGTCGGGTTGATTGGGCGGGTTAATCGGGTCGGGCTATGTTTTGACATCTATAGCTCTAGATTAGTTAGATTAGTGTTTTTTGTATGAGAAAATTGATGTTAAGTTTTTATTTTGAAAGAAACTTGTTATTGTAAATTTTTTACCACAAAAACCCACGGATACCCAGCGAGTTGGGTTGGGTTTGAGTTTTTCAAACCCAGCGGGTTTTACCCCGAGTTTTTTTGGCAGATAAACTCATGGGCTTGGGTTTGACAAACCCCGCCCCAACCCGACCCATTGCCATCCCTAATAGAGACCATACTACCCCCACTTCTCAGTTCAACACCGTAGTTGTCACCCTACCTTCAAGAGAAGGGAATATCACATCAGCTCTTTTACTCTGGCATTCTCTCTTTCCCTTTGTTCTGCACAGATCCTTTTGAAGTCTTCATAAAAGGGGTCAGATAGTAACACATGACCGTCTAAGGTGCACATTAGCTCTTTTTTGACCCTTGTATACTCTTGGAAGGAAGAATCTGTTGGGGTCAACAAATCCTCATAGTCGCCTATAAAAAGAAAAACATCCTTGGTTCGTTAACAATACAAATAATCTCTACATAGTAGTGCATCAATCCACAAGCAGACCAACATGGATACAAACATGTCAAAGAACCATCCATCCAACAAAAGCAACAAGATCATCCACACAGAAAGCTGAAAATCTTTCAGCAACATAAAAGAACGACAAATAAACAAGAACCGCAATCATAATATCGATAAAGCATGAATGCAAAACCAAAAATAGTCCATCAACACAAGGGCAAAAGTGGATGGCATATTTATGCCTCGATGCTAAAATAAAAGTTTTACACATACACATAAACATACACAAACATGGTATTCAAAGGTAAGGAACAATTTCGCGTATCGATCAGCCAAGGCAGGGAACTAAACATAGTGAAAAGATGACACATAGAGACTCATCTTTGATACCATAACCCTGGAACTCAAAAGGACAAAAGTGCAACATATTGACATCTAATCCCTAACAAATAACGCATACTCGCGCGATCAATCACTGAGTGAACAAAACTGAATATCTTTAACTTGACCCACGAGCAAACTTTTTTACAAAATGGTATATCTTAGTCTCAAAGAAATAAGAAATACCGAATTACCGATTACCTTTGCCATTTCTGAAGATTATAACTTCATGATCGCCAGTGTAATACTTTGAACAGGTGACCACAGTCTGGTAAGTCTGGACACCAAACTTCTCACTGTGTCCTTTAAAAGTTACATAGAAGATCATACAACCATAAGTCTCCAGATTTGTGTGCAGAATTCCAGTTAAAGTCAAGTTGTCCTTCTGGAAACGTTCACAACCATAAGAGGAAAAAAGTCAATCCTGACATGTCAAGATTATGTCCTCCCAGATCAACAAGACAGAGATCAGTGCATGGTTGCAAATTAATTACCTTCTCTTTGTTATATTTGTCGATGGCGAATTCAAGAGATTTGTCACGCTTCTGCTTCGTATCAGGAGTTACGGGCAAATGTTCGTAGTAGAAGATTCCCTCGAAACTAGGGTAATTCGGTGGACAATCAGCATAAAAACACTGCATGCAATTAAGAACGATTGCTGAGAAAATGAAATCATCAAGCAAACAAACATACAGGCAGAAAATATTGTTACACGAAAAACTGTGGAAACCCTAATTAATTAAAATCGCAAATCAAATGTGTCTAACTTACACCCTGATCCGCTTCTTCCTCCGGTAATGGATGACACGGAGCTTCAATTCTTCATCGCCCTTGAAATCGTCGCTCTTGAGCACATAATTGGAATCGTCGTCCTTGGGTACGAGTTTCAGCTCACCAACGGCTAGGCAGCGCACGCAGGTTCCCATCGTCGTCGTTGATTCAGCGGACGACATGAGCTTTGGTGCCTTGGATGGTTTAGCTGGCTCCGGCGCTATGGGGGACTCCTTCCCTCTAGCCTTCAGGTCGGAAGTCATGCCCGGAATCGACGAGCGGTGGATGATAGCACGATTCGAAGACCCTCTTGGATTTTCAATTCTAGGGTTTCAACTTGGGGAGTTTTTTTTTTATATATAATATTCAGATGAAATAGTAGACAGATATGTTTACAATAGGTAAAAAATAACGTCAGTCGATACTAATCGATCTGGCGATGAAAGACCCATTTATGCCACTAAATGGACAGCTCTGTTAGTTCCTAAGAACAGAGTGATAAAACACTAAAGTCTAAAAAAGGATATGTTTCCGCCGTTACACCATACCGCCTTAAGCTCTCTGTGTCTTCACCTAGGATCTGAGTCTCCTACTCATGTTAAAGGTTACGGCTGTCACCACCGAGCTGAAACTATGATAGAACTAAAACCCAACGCGACACAAAGAGTCCCTGCAAAATAAACAAACAAACAAGACCAAACTAATTCTGGCCTACGGGCTAAAAAAGGCCCAAGTAAGCCCAAAATTGCAGAGGGATAAGCACAACTCATGATAAGATTTTCCCCCGTATGCTAACCGAGGAAACCCATTCCACATGTTGACACCTGCCCGCTTTGTTGCCAACTAGGCCCCATTTAGCTTGTGGAATGGGGTTGCGGATAGGAATTGCGGTGGGAAGCGAGCAGCAACCAATGAAAAAGGGACACACCAAATTGCGGCTTCCTCGAGTTGGCCGGAGCTGAAACCGACTACGGTGGTACCGACGGCGGTGAAGCAAAAATAAACCGGTCACGGAGGAAGGTAGCAAAATTGTAGAGCCTGCATCCAGGAAGACAAGGAAGAATCGAAAAACAAAAAGAAAGGCTTAATTGCAAGTTTGGTCACTCGAATTGCTACAAAATTTCACGTTTGCCACTCAAATTAATTTATTCCATTTATAGTCACTTAAATTAGGTTAACAGTCCAAGTTTGGTCACTGACCGTTAGTCTCCGTTAACTTTTGCTGATGTGGCGGTCAACTCTTTTAGTTGACCGTTAAATGCATGACGTGGCAATTAAAAAATTTAAAAATTTAAATTTAAAAATTCCACCTCAACTATTAAAAAATAATAAAAATTCCACCTCATTTTCACAATAAATTATAAAATAAATAAAAACCTAAAAATTATATTTATAATTTTTATTCCCATAAAATTCCCCATCCATTTCTCCACCTGCAAATCTTCATCTTTCCCCCAAAACCCCCAAACCGAAGAACCTTCGAGGTCCAGGCCATGTTCCGTCGAGAAGCTCCCCTTCGTCCTCCCCGCCGCCCATCTTCTCTGCTAGCATCCGCCACCATCTCCACATCGTCAACCTAACCCAATCGAGGACGATTCTTCCTTCGCGCTCGCCATCCGTCCATGGATAACCAAGTGAATGGGATGTCTTTGCTTTAAGATTTGGCCATTTTAGGGGATCAATGTGGAAGCCGGTGCTGGTGGGTTGGGCCTCCGAGTGGGCAATTTAGCTTCCGTTGTTGCTGCAGTTGGGTTTGGAATTGGATATCCAGATGGGTCCGCTGAGGAATCCTCGGTGACGGACCATCGTGGCGTCGACGCCGCCGACAATTCAAAGAAGCGGAGGGATTTCAGCTCCAAGGATGAGTCTTCTAGGATGGTTTCTGTTACTTGCAGTGGCAATGAATTAGTCTGTGTTCTGCTACTCCATCTCTTAATCTCTTTCTCTCTCTTGTTTATCTTCTTCACAATTTACCCAATTCCCACAGTTGTTTGACTTTTTTTTTTGATAATGGTGATTATTATAAAGAACGTATAAAAAACGGTCCCACTACAGGAAGCAAAAACAAAGAAAATGCAAAAAGGAAAGGTTCAGCAGGACTGAACTCTCAACAGAGGAAAACTAAAGCAAAGCAAAACCCGGCCCCTCGGAGAAGAGAGGCTGCGAATCAAGTTGACAAGGGTAAACCAACTCCCCACGTGCACAGATAGGATGCGAAACTAGAAGAGATTCCTGAACCAGGTCTCGCTATAGGCTCTGTCAGCTTTGCCGTGAGCGATGATCCACTCAATTACATCTTTGCAAGCGCGCCGGGCAATGATTCCAAAGGGAGTATCACTACTATGGAAAATGCGTTTATTGCGCTCCAGCCAAAGGTTCCAGCAAATGGAGTGGAGAATGCACGTCTGAAACCAGTCGTCGAAGCCGTCTGAAGATCTGGAAGGCAACCTACGGATGACGTCGATGATGCTCGATCTTGGTTGGGAGTTAATTCTGCACTTGCTACCGATTAAGTTCCAGACATTCATGGAAGGACTAGGAGGGAGGACTATTGGTCTTGGAGAGTGACGAGGGAGAGTGCGGAGGGAGAGGTCCGAGTGCTTGTGGAGATGAAGGAATTGGCAAGTGGAAATGCGTTGTAAGGAGGAGGCAACGGTGACATCGTGACGGCGGAGGAGGAGGGATTCGGGGCTGCGCGGTGTCCTCCCTCCGATCACGAGCTCTAGAAGCGAATCAAGGCTTCATAGCTGGAAAAAGGAAGAAGAAGGGTTAAAGTTTGGAATACAGAGACGAAATTGCCTCTGTGCTTTTGGGTTTTGGCGGGTTGGGGTTTGGAATTTAGTGAGTTCCCTCGTGAGGTCTCTCGCCCATCCTTTTTATGGCCTCCATTAAGGACAAGGCAATATAGAAGAGGAAGGAGAAGCTAGTGACAGTATATTATGAAAAAGAACAACAGGCGAGGAACAACCATTCCAACAAAGAGAGTCAGAACAGAGGGTTATTCTCGAGCTTCCCGAGTCGTAGATGTGGAAGCGGAGAAGGCGGTGACGCTCCCCGAGCAGCAGAGAGAAGTCGAGGCATAAATTATAATATTTATGTTTTATTTATTTTTTAATTTATTGTTATAATGAGGTGGAAATTATAAAAAATTAAATTTTACTTTTTTATAATTTATTAATTGCCACGTCACACATTTAACGGTCAACTAAAAGATTTGACCGCCAAATCAGCAAAAGTTAACGGAGACTAAGGGAGAGTGACCAAACTTGAACTATTGAACTAATTCTAGTGACCATAAATGGAATAAATTAATTTGAGTGGCAAACATGAAATTTTGTAGCAATTCGAGTGACCAAACTTGCAATTAAGCCCAAAAAGAAAATACCCCAAATGAACAGAACAAGGAATTCGGAATGGACATCCCAGAGAGGGATCTATCAACACCACCCTCACCTAAGCAAGAGAGGCAAATGAAATCAAACAAATTGAGCATGAAGAAAATCAATATTCCCCAGAAACAATAATCCAAACCTAACCACCAAATACGACCAATACGAATCAAATATAACCCAAAGAAATCCCTACTTGGAAATTGAGCAACGAAGTTAGAGGCAGAGATATCACCAAGAAGCCAAACGAAGAAGGGATTAGGACTCTGGAATGATTGATTCCCCCGAGAAGCCGATCAGATCGCTCTTCTTCCACTGCCTGATCCGGTCACCTAAGCAAGAGAGGCTTTCGTATTCTTCTTCCCGTAGGGTTTTGCTGAGCATCGCTTGCGATGGGGGACCTCTTTTTCCACTGCCGGATGAGAGAGTGAATTCTTGGAAACCTTTCTTCTGCTCAGCTCTGCTTGGTGGAGGAGGATAACAAAGTGCCCCATGACTCATTTGGTGGGGAGTTAATGAAAGGAACAGTTTGGGGGAATACTACAGTGCCGCTATAAAAAGTGCGGTACCGGTAACGCAATTTCAGATTGGTCCAAGTGGACGGTGATGTGCCATGGCTGGATTATTTAGTCCGAACCCAAACATTGACCGGGTAAAAAGTGGCCCCAACCGCCAGCTAACCAAACAGACGGAAAGCTATCCGTACGCCTTAATGTCGCAAAATTTTGAGACTTTGCAGCTCCCAATTCCCTTCAAAACACTGTCATCCATCCCCAAATATGTGTCTCCCAAGATCTGTCTGTGAACTTCATCAATCAACGGCACCATCCATCGGCGTCTCTCTCCCTCTCCCTCTCACGCCCAGATTCCCTGATCTCCCTCCCTCTAAGAATCTTCAAATTCTTTGCCGCTGTCATCGTCGGTGGATCTTCAATCAAACTGCGGGGTTCGGAATTTGGATACTAACAAAGCTCGATCTTTTCCATTAGCTCAGGGCTCTTTCTTCTTGCTTCAACTTCCATGCTTGCCTCGTGTAAAGGCGATAGACTTATTCTTCTTGTCTTGGAGGGAGTTCATTTGTTTGAGAACTTCCTCATGACTAAGAAGAGATCCAATTAAGTTTTCAAGAGATAGCACATTTAGATCTTTAGCTTCCTCAATGGCAGTTCTTTTGGCCATCCATTCAAGAGGAAGAGATCTAAGCACTTTTCTGACAAGCTCTTTGCTAGAGAATGTCTTTCCCAGCCCTTTGAGGCAATTTACTAAAGTAGAGAATCTCTTATCCATTTCAGAAATAGATTCTCCAGATAGCATATCAAAGGTTTCATATTCTTTCAAAAGAAAGTCAATTCTAGTTTCCTTGACTTCTGATGTTCCTTCATGAGTTGTTTCTAGGATTGTCCATATTTCTTTAGCTGTTTCACATTTGTTTACTCTTTCTCCTTCATCATCAGATATTGCAGACAGTAAAATGT